TAGCTTAATGAAGCAGTTTTGGTTTATAGAACATGCCCCTGCAACCCCACTGCTCAATCCTCTGCCATTTAGGAGTTAAATCCCTTTGTTTATGAACCCTAGTCACACCTCCATGCATGAGCCCTATTTAGGCTTTCTTTATTGCAAGTTCTGTTTAATTCAGATTTTCTTATCCCCTGCTATGTTAATAGCTGCTAGACCCTGCAAGAGCCTCCTGTATGTGATTAAAGTTCAATTTAGAGATTGAGATACAATTATGTAAAGTAAATTACATCTGTTTGAAAGTGAAACCATTTTATTTATTTTTTTCATGCAGGCTCTGTCAGTCATAGCCAGGGGAGGTGTGGCTAGGGCTGCATAAACAGAAACAAAGTGATTTAACTCCTAAATGACAGTGAATTGAGCACTGAAATTGCAGGGGAATGATCTATACACTAAAACTGCTTTATTTAGCTAAAGTAATTTAGGTGCCTATAGTGTTCCTTTAAGTTTGGAAAGCTATGTTCTTTGTATATGGCAATGCCTGCAAAGTTTTAAGAGGGTTTGAATTATTATTTAAATATTAAATTCATTATTACTGATGGCTAAAGTGTAACCCGACAGAGCAATATGGCATATTTAAATGTTTTCCTACAATTACACGTTGCACGGTTATGTACATAAATATTAAATAAGTACAATATTTTATGAATCCTTCTCTGATGAAACAAAAAGCCTTTAGTATTGAACAGGGTCTTCAAATAATGCTTCCAACTAATAGTAAAAATTAGAGAACACAGTGGGTAATTCCATAGCAGACATCATGATTTACAGGCTACTAGACTTGTAGAAAAAATTGCATCAGTTTGTCCAAATCAAATTCCTTCTAATAAATACCCCAACAAATCAATTAATCCAGGAATCCCCTGTTGAGTCAATTTCACTGAACAACGAGATTCATGCAGGTGTAGGTTGAAAGAAAATTGAGGCAGGCAAACCGGCCCAAACTATATTTTGCACAAGTCTTCTGTCCTCTAGATATGATAAGTCCCAGAATGCTAAAGGGGATAGTTCCATGAAACAGCCCAAGTTAGACAAATGGTTACAGATGCACAAGTATGAAGGAATAGATAACAGAGCTTTAAAAGGACACTATAGTCACCAGAACAACTAGAGCTTAGTGTAGTTGTTTTGATGTATAGTCTGTCCCTGCAGGCTTATTAATGTAAACACTGTGCTTTCCAGTTAATAGCAAATTTACAGATACAAATTTTTAGTACGTACCTCTGCCGTACATGCAAAAGTCAGGAAACTCCTATATAAATGTAAAAATTAACATTAGTCTAATGTAATTTTTTCTCCACAATGGATGAACCTATTATGTATTTTACCTAAATGCCATTTTGAATCAACAGCTGTTTGACTTTTCACTGGCCCTGTGCATCTATAGAATTCCATGATCTACAGCACAATGTATGCAGTAGATACGATATATATATATAGAGTTTACATACCTGAAACCAACAATGTTAAAATGCAGGAAAATGGACAAGCAGGTGCGCAGAGATTTCTCACTTGAGCAACATTTAAGAGTTTCACTACTGGTTTGTTTTTTTCATTTAAAGAGGTTAGTCTATCTAAATAAATTACCACATTTTTAATGCATTATACAGATAATTTAGGGCCTGATTTTGGCCATCAATCCTCTGTTCAGTAGAGATTTATTGCATTAGTATTTTATCCCCAAAGAGTAGTTCCACCTCCAGTCATCACATAGGATGATTGGAACTTCTCAGTAGAGCAGTCCAGAGACAGTGGCTGTATCCTTTATACATAGTAAAACACAGCCCAGCTAGCAAGCTATCAGGAAAGTAGTCCTAATGGCATCGTTTATGAATATGGGCAGGATTTCAGCTGTACTGAGCATGGCCATATGTCTGAAATCCGAGACATATTTATTAAATGCAGGATTGGAGGCCCAGATTATAAATTAAAAATAATTTTCTGAATTGCAATGCTACAACCAGCCATTGTCCCTACCCCAAATAATAGGATGCCCCCCTCCAGCAGACTGGAGGACCCCAATCCCCCAGCCAACCCCTACCTATCCCTTTCTCACCCTAATAATAGTGAGTGAGGGCTAATTAATCTAAAACCTGTAATTAAATATATAAAAATTATACTTGCATTGAGTTTTCTTTCTTCCAATTCTTCTGTTATTCTGTCTCAAAACAGTCCAAGCCAAAATCCAGAATAACAAACACCAGTTATAATAAAAGACCGGATCAGAAAACAACAAACAAACATATATTGATATAGGACAACTGTGTGTGTGCGTGTGTGTGTGTGCATGTGCGTGTGTGCGTGTGTGCTGGTACATATATTTTGTTTAAATAGGTGAGTATAGTGATTGTATGTGGGATAGTGTTTAGAAGAAGTGGTTTGTGTAAAGGGAGGGTTTAAACATTTGAAAGGGGTTTACATCATTACTAGCGTTAGATTACTTAGGCTGTTTAAGAGAACAGCTTGAGAGGGGTTATAGTTGAGGTATAAGGGGTATTTAGCATGACTGTGTTTACATTTATTTAGTTACAGGGGATAAAATCTGTATTGGGTTACATGTTTTGTAAAAGGAGTTAAACCTAGGATTAAGGTAAAGGTTTTTTTTTTCTGGGTCAGGCTTTAAGTGCTTAAATAAACACAAAAACTTTAGGATACAATCCTCTCTCCCGAGTTATATAGGCTTCCCCGTGTCATCAAAATAATAAAAGTCTTTACATCGCCTCCTCCTGCGACATCATGGAGTAGGCTTGACCTTCTCCGGTGTAGTCCAGTTCAGTGTGCTCCTTCTAGAGGAGCATTGAGGACCTGATGCATAGGTCACATTCAAGCTACCCCATAGGATAGCATTGAATCAATACTTTCCTATGCGGCTTCCGTGTTGAGTGACTGAGTTTTACTTGGTCAGTGCAGCGGAAGAGCTTCCGGTGGATGTCACTTTAACAGTCACTGGCGGTGTGTTTAACTCTTCAAGATAAACATTGCAGTTTCTACAATTCAGATGGATTCACCAACAAGGTATGTTTCTAATGAAGCAGCCCTAATGTTTATCTTTATTACAAACAGCAAATCACATTGTGATGTGCTGTCATTTCGGCAGTGCGTAGATTATAATAGGGTTATTTACTGAAGTGCAAATTCAACACAATTTTACAATTTAAGGCCAGAGTAGCTGAACTAAAAGCATAGGTAACTTAGAAACTCTTTCAATTTGGCTATTTTGGACCTAAATTGAACATTTACTTTGAAGTTTCACTTATTATCTCTGTATAGGTGGATGAAATGTCCACTTTAAGGCACATTCTATAGAACTATGTTACTAAACAGCTACAGTTAATATTGGTTCCGTGGATGCTTGTTTTCAATATTTCTCTTGGTGAGCTGCCAGTTTCCAGACTAGCTAAGCATCATAATAACTGTCATCCACAAACATCTACTGTACCAATATTAGCCATCACATGTCCAATGTTTGATAATATTGCAAAGTATTGCCAATTAATGTTCTGATATTTGTAATCTCTAATAAGAACATGCTTTGCTCTTTTACAGGTGAAGGCCTTTGTTTCGGAAGATCTCCCTCTTTAGTATCCTTCAAAATTGTGGACAGCCCCTGGGGGCTGTTGTGATAGGCCTTGAGTTTAACTCACAAGCATTATAATAGAAGACGTTGTGCAGTGTTACAGACGTCTTGACAATAGGTTTCTTATTTTGTGGGAACATTGGAGCAGGTTCCCCCAGGCAACATATAAAAAAAAAAAAAAAATTATGGTGTTTGACACTATCTGGTTAAGTAGGATGTTTTCTGTGCTTCCACATAAAAATGGCAGGGAACCTTGTTTTGAAATTCCATATATCGGGGGTGGACCAACATTAAAACCCCAGCTGTTGTAGAATTACAGGCTCCATAATGTGTGCTGGCAAAGCCTTGTGGAGTTACAGGGGGGCTATCTTGTGCCCAGCCAGAAAAAACAAGAGTGCAATCTTAGAGTGTCATAAATTTGGTGTCAACGGCAAGAGACTTGCAGGTTATTCACTAAATTGTCAGAAATTATATCATTCTAAATTTAAGGACACAATTCTCCAAGTCAGCTTGGTTTACAGTTTGGCTATCTTGGCCTTAAATTTACTTTGAATTCCCAACAATTCTCTATTTTGTGAATAAACGTGTAAATGTTAACCACTGTCCAGTTGATACATTTCTGTGTCCAGCATTTGAAACAAAGTTAAAAACAAAACAAAAACAAATATGATGGTTGCTGTATCTCGTAAACTGCCACATGTTGGTCATATAACTGATTGGGCTCTATGGGCTCGCATTCAGTCGTTACCAAATAATTAGCAAATTCCCAACAGCATTGAAGTAAGGGAAATTACTAGAATTGTTAATATAAGGTTAATAAAGACAATCGTATCATATTTAAATGATTTAGAGAGACAAACAGCAGACTAATACACGTTATGTTAAAAGTCAATAGGACATTTGGTGTATTTACTTTACCCGATTCCTAGCCTTCATTTTGAATATAGGGTTTCAACCATATTCCTTTAGTAAATCCTTATGGTGAAAATTGTAGTTTTATAGCATTAGTTCTATCTGGCCATGTATAATAAATTGTAATTCTTCTGCTAAAATAGCCAAAATTTAAATTTTCCATTTCTATTTTGGCTTAAAATGTACAATTCCCTTCTCATTTTGATAAATTAACATTTTACTAAGGATTCAATACACAATAAACAATATGAGAGAATCCTGGACAAGTGTAAAAGTGTCAGAACAAAGGGCAGCCAACAAACAAAGAGATCAGGGACAGAACCCAATCCCAAATTGCAGGGTAAGAAAAACGACATCTGCATACAGAGGAAAAAATATTGCAGTCAGAGAGAAAGATATGTAGAAAGGGAAGGTGTGAGAGGTGGGGGGAGAGGACGGGGGGAAGCAGAGCCTAGAATCTAGGCCAGATATGCAGAGGGTGGTCCATCCCGGTGACCATGTCACAAAAGGCCTACACCAGGAGGAGGTTCAGGGGGAGGCCCTGAAAGGTTTTAATGTATTAAAATAAAGCAGATATTTATTAATGTTTAATAGGTGGTTGTATACAGTCTTTTCTATTATTTTGAAGGAGAGTGTAGTGATTACATTGTACAGAGCTGTTTGCCTCATATCTACCATTTGCTCCTTTACTTCCGTTCTTCTCATAGCCACAACCTAGAAATGAAGCATATCCCTGGAGCAGACCCTGAACTTGTAATACTTAGTGCTACATATGAAGAATTGGAGGTAAGAGATTGCTAATGGGGAAAAAAAAAACATTTTAGTTTCAATAAAAACCAAATGACTGAAGCCAGGTCATCATTGGTACATTTAAAATCTCCAAATTGGTGGTCTGACTAATGGATGCAAGACTCCTGCAGGCTATTCAGGAAGAGGGTGGAGTAAGGAGGGCTCTGGGTACATATTGGGGCATAAATTAACGAAGAAGAAAATGGGTGCAGCTGGCTTGTTCTGCAAATATACTGTACATAAGACAACTGAGCAAAGACAACTCAAATGTAAACATGAACACTTGAAGTGCTTCTGTGACAAGAATTTAGCAATCAGAGATAAACTGCTATTAACTTATTACTTAAAAATTCATTTTTAATTTTTGATTTGTCTCAATGCAGCAAATGCCTCAAGAAAACAAACAAACATACCTCCAAACATATAAACATAAAACAATGGTGCAACCTGCTTGATTCCGATCTAATTCCAATTCATGAAAAAACTGGGCACACTCATACTTTATGGAGCGGTTTTAGATTTGGCTTCAGACCTTAAAAGCATCTAGCCTCTTTAAGGGTGACGTCACCTCTCTCCCTCCAAACAAGCCTTCACTTAAAAAGAACGCAAAGAGTCACAACAATTGCATATGTAGTGCATTATCCTTAATAAACCAATAAGGAAAGAAACGAATATACAGTTAACATATATAATGCCTATCATTTAAAGCCTAAAATACAAGCTCATACAAGTGTTCATGTTTACATTTGAGTGTTTTTTGTACTTCTCTTTTTTTTTTTTTATGTATGTACTTTATTAAAACTGAACTTTGCATGGTACTTTGTAATGTATATTGGCATAAAATAAGTGCTCCCTGTTTTCTGGGTAGTTTTCACTCATGGCAAATGAGATGTGAATAGACAGGGGAAAACACATTGGGGGTTTATAGAGCAGCTTAAATACAAATTTATAAATTGTGAACATTTCCATTTGTACTGATAATTTCCACAGTTCCACATTTTATTTTTCATTAGGTCACATTATGGCCTATTTACAGGCTGTAATGGCAGTCTGAAGTGCTTAACCCCTTAAGGACCAAACTTCTGGAATAAAAGGGAATCGTGACAAGTCACACATGTCATGTGTCCTTAAGGGGTTAAAGGATCACTATAGTGTCAGGAAAACAAACTGTTTCCTGACACTATATGATCCATGGGACCCCCCCTCCCCCCCACCCTCAGGGTCCCCCTCCCTTGGTGCTGAAAAGGTTAAAACCCCTTCAGCTACTTACTTTAATCGGGAGCTCGGCGCTGGTGACCTCTCCTGCCCCGCCGACATCAGCTCCTGTACACTTTATCTACAAATTAAATACATTCCCTACATTTGCAAGTAATTTGGCTACCATAATGTATAAGTAACATTATCTAATCACCGCAAGCTCACCAATAACATGACAAATGATAAATGACATGAAAGTGTAAATCTAGTCACCTATCTAATTTCCTGGAACACATACATTAAATTTTCACATTTTTTATTTAACGTAAGGCATATTTCTTAGCATGCATCCACCTACATCTTCCAAATTAGCTGCCTACATCATGTCGTTCTATAATTTAAAAACCTGTTTTATAACTTGAGCAAGAGAGTAGATGGATTTATTGCTGAGTGCTCCAGGGCAGGTAGTTTAATAATATATTACAATAACCTAAACTGCTGAATATTTTTAAACTAAAAAGTTAATACTCTATTATTGGAAAATTGACCTAGGTCCTCGTCAAAGCAAAATTTAAAATGTCTTGTGATGATGCTCACCAGATGCATTTTAGTTTAAACTGGTAGTGGTAAACATTTGTACCAGGTGTGGCTTCTGACAAGTAAATACACTGTTTGTGAAATTAATTATACTTCCCTTGAGGTTGGGATTAATTATGCCGTTGTGAATAGCCAGCATCGTGTGAATAAAGTAAACACATCTGTGTGCAATGTGCATATGCAATGTAGTGCTAACCTGAGAATAGCATTCTCTCCAGGGTGCTTAAAAGAGAATTGAACATAATCTACCTTCTTTGAGCAGGCTGAGATGTAATCCTGTAATTTTAAAACCACAGGCAGATTTTATCTCGAATCATCACATTCAGTAATAGCTGGTTATCTCCTTAGCACCAAATCTCATTAAATCTCCGCAACGCAATCATCTTACAGATTCCTGGATGAAAATTTTCCAGAAATTCAATAATCTCTAAAACTAATATAGAACTAGTTGTGTTTGTTTTTTTTAGAAGAGGGGCTAAGGTTTAAAAATAATTTCAGGAAGTATTACTTTACTGAGAGGGTAGTGGACGTATGGAATAGTCTTCTAGATGAAGTGGTAGAGTGATAAGGTGAAGTGGTACAGTGAAGGAGTTTAAGCATGCGTGGGATAGGCGTAAGGCTATCCTAACTATAAGACAAGGCCAGGGACTAATGAAAGTATTTAGAAAATTTGGGCAGACTAGATGGCCACATGGTTCTCATCTGCCATCACATTCTATGTTTCTTATCGGCCGTCACATTCTGTGTAACAATATATAAGGCAACCCCCAACACTAGCATTTATATTAAAGGGACACTATAGTCACCTGAACAACTTCAGCTTAATGAGGTTGTTCAGGTGAGAACTATAGCTCCCTGCAGCCTTTCTCATGTGAACACTGTATTTTCTGAGAAAATAGTGTTTACATTGAAAGCTAGGAACACCTCCAGTTGCAGTCACTCAGAGTGAACCAGAGGGACTTCAGAGTTGATGGAGGCATAATATGCCTCCATCCACTCAGATCTGCTGTCAGCAGAGCACAGGGCAGCACTGTGCACAGCATCGTGTGATTCAATATCTTCTCCCTCTGTATGCAGACACTGAACTTTCCTCATAGAGATTCATTGATTCAATTAATCTCTACGAGGAGATGCCGATTGGCCAGGGCTGTGTTTGAATCATGCTGGCTCTACCCCCTGATCTGCCTCTTTGTCAGTCTCAGCCAATCCTATGGGGAAGCATTGTGATTGGATCAGGCTACCACATGTCAGCAGACTGCTTGTTATTCCGAGTCTAACAGCATGCAGATTTACAGATTCCGGCTTGAATACAGTAAGATTTTTACTATATTTATGGAGGCATGAGGGGCCCAGGGGGGCTAGATGGTGGTGTTAACGCTATAGGGTCAGGAATACATGTTTGTGTTCCTGACCCTATAGTGATCCTTTAATACTTTAAAGTGTGATTTATATATTTTAATGAAATGACATACGGACATGGTCAGTGCAGCCTACTGCCATAGGTGAACCTTGACTTGTCTTTAAATGTTTTTGTACCCCACCTCCTCTAGACTGTAAGCTTGTTTGAGCAGGGTCCTCATCTACCTATTGTTCCTGTGTCATAGTGTAATTGTCTAATTTATTGTAAATCCCCCCCGTTCATAATATTGTAAAGCGCTGGGTAATTAGTTAACGCTATATAAATACTAATAACAACAACAAGTGCATGACCAGTGTTGGAAGATATTGAGTTGGAAAAAATAACTGCTTCTTCCAAGATGGCCTGCTTTGTATAAAATAGATATAAAGTTTTCTATGTTTTTCCCCCTTTGTATAGTTTCAAGCTGATGAATTACTGTGTCTTGATTAGTTTCGAGAAGAGATACAAAGATATGACACATTTTAACAGACTTGTGATACCTTGCTCCAAGATATAGACAAGCAAACTTATGTTCCTGATTTGTTTATAACACAAAACATTGCTAATAAGATCGAGAGTCCCCAATAAGTCATATATGCTTAGAGCTCCATTAAAGCTTAGGGCTATCCCTAACTTTAGCATTTGTTTTGTTTACAAATAAGGATTGGATTGAGTCTGGTAAATCTTTTAAAAACACAGTTTTAGAATAGCCCATGCTGAGGTCCAAGGATTTAGAAGAGGTGGAAACTGGCACAGGCCCACTTACCCTTAAATTTTGCTTACCATTACAGCGCTATCCACTAAGTGCCATGAAGAGGAAGGAAATTAACCAACTAATGAAGAATCTGGGGTTCTACAAGAAAGAAAGCCCGACTGCTCCAGTCCCTCCAGAGTTTCAGTTGGCACCAGCAAGGAAACCGTCTGATTCCAAAGATGATTTATAGCCCTACTCTCTCTGCAATAGCTTCTGTATTCAAAAAATAAAATAAAACCCAAACTGCAAACTCCTCCCAAAAAAGAAGAGATTACCAGTTGCTGGAAAAGAATTGAACTCATGATCTCAAGTAATTAATTGAGCAGTAAACATTAGCAGGTACAATCATGTTTATCTAGCCCTATGCACAAGGACCAATGCACAGACTAATAGTGTATCAATCAGTGTCAAGCAATCAACATTGCAGTTATGTGTGTGAGCACTAGGAGAATAAGGAGAACTAAAGCACTGTGCATCAATGAAACACCTGACCCCTGGGGGAGCCCTACATCAATTTAAAATTTAGGGACGAAATAGCTAAACTGTAAAAATTCACTGATTCTTTCAGTTTGGCCATTAATTTGAAATTCCCTTTTGTAAGAGTTAAAACCCCTTTAGCAACTTACCTTAATCCAGCTCCGGGCTCCCTCGGCGCTGGTAACCTCTCGTGCCGCGCATGCATTCAAAGTTTCCATAGGAAAGCATTTCTCAATGCTTTCCTATGGACGCTCTGCGCGATGGAGGCAGAATATGTCTCCAGCGTCACAGATGCACCTCTAGTGGCTGTCCGGAAGACAGCCACTAGAGGCTGTCTTAACCCCAAATGTAAACATTGAAGTTTCTCTGAAACTGCTATGTTTACATCTGAAGGGTTAAAACCTGAGGGACCTGGCACCCAGACTACTTCATTGAGCTGAAGTGGTCTGGGTGACTATAGTGTCCCTTTAATTGTGAATTGTCAGAAATTCATAAATTTCATACTTCAGTACGAAACTGTTAAACTAAAAAGGTAGTTGCTTTGTGAAACCAATTTGGCCTGCAATTTTAAATTGTTTTTGAATCCTCATCAATTTATACTCCTATAAATAAATATTATTTATAGATGATTATTTGCACATGTTGCCCAAATTGTGGCCTGACTCAGCATAGTTTTAAAATTTCCAATTTATTCATGAATTGTGTTAAATTAGGATTTCATGTTACCAAGGCTTTAACTTTCACAAGGTTACCTTGGCCCACACATGTAAAAAAAAAAGTGTCCACCTAAACTCTACTGCCAGGTCTAGCTAGCGCTGGAAATCTATTTAGACAACGCTTAGATATCCAGTTTTCTTTGAATTTGCTCATACTATTAAAACTCAAAGTCTTGGACAAATAAGAAAAATTCTCAGCAAAATTGTTTTGATAATTAACATACTGCATTGTAAATTTGGTGATTGTTGCAACACCTAATGGCTTTGTTACAAATACGGTCTCTCAGTGGAACCAGAAGTGGAGATGAACGGATAGACCATTAAAGGCTTCCTCTGTGTGGGATCACCACCTGCTGGCACTAGTTTGTCATTGCATAGTGTGTTTGTACAGGCTACTAATTTTATCCATAGCTTTTAAAAGTAATAAGAAGGTACTCATTAAGGGATTGCTATACATATATTAATTCTACACATCACATCCATAAATTGATCTTTATCTAGCCTGCTCTGTCTTCCAGGACACAAATGAAGGTCTCAGCTGAAAAGTTTCCTAGTTGAGAACTGATGCAAACAAGTCTCGGAGCAAGGGAAGGTTAGGTTAGGTTACATCATTTCGTAAATACAAATGGATTACACATACATGATGATAAAGTAATAAAATTATAATTCAAACAAGTGTGTTGTTTGTCTTTAAAAGATTAAATGTTCAGTGGTCAATCCTTTCTGAAAATTAGATATGGTAGAATGTTGTTTCTTACTCATAGTCATTTAGATTGGTAGACACCATCAGATGGCTATGTGCTGTTGGCAGTTGATGGACCACTGGAGTAAAACTGGATATTCTTGGAATCCTTGTCAAACGAATTGGAATGAAAGGCTTGTGGATTCAGCTAACTCCCAGAATATATCTTTGGAAGAGACCAAAGGCTTTAATCAATCTTATCCATTGTCCATGGTCTAGAATTAAATAGTTGTAATCACACAAGCCAAATGAATGTGCTAATAAGAGTTCCCCAACCCAGTACTCATGGCCCACCCACAATCATGGATTTATGTATTTCCCTATTTTATGCCAATGGAGATACTGACAAAATCTGGACCGTTGGTGGGCCATGAGGACTGGGTTGGGTAACACTGTACTAAACAATAGGTCTTTATGCTCTGTTACTGATGCCATTATAACAAGCCCTATTCTTCTGTTTTATTAAATCAATAATTTAGGGAAGGGCTAATTTAAAAAAAAGATTTTGGTCAACAGGCATGAAGTTTTATCACTGATAATATGGATTTGGAATTAGCATAAATAATAAAAATAGGGATATTATGGGTACTAAAGGTTTGCAACAATAAGCTAAATTGTTCCCATACCACATTTGAAAATATTAAAACTATAGTGATACATACATAATTTATACTATGGTATTTAGCTTTTATGCTATTAACAGTATTTATACTTAAACACGATAGCGTTAGTAATACATATTTGTATTCCTAACACTATAGTGTCCCTGTCCTTCCTTTCATTTATGTACCCACCATTTTGCATAAAAATGCATTAATTAAAAAAAATATTTTATATATATATATAGATAGATAGATAGATAGATAGTTTTATTTAACTATTTCCAGGTTGGAGCTCCCTCAGCGCAGCTTACCTCTCCGCCTCTCGAAACGGAATGATATCCTCCGCCAATGTCCAATCCAATGCTCCTCACAGAAAGCACTGGGGATTTTTTTTTTTTTTTTTAATTCTTTATTTTTGCTCAATAGACATATCAAGTTAGTAACGACTTTGGGCTTATGCAAAAGCCAGTGTAATAATATCATCATACAGAATACAGTTTAACAATTACATTATAAGCCCATTCATAATTGAGCTATCGGCACTTGCCGTCTACTGAGGATTTTTATTTTTATGCAACTATAAACAATATATTCACACAACAAAAAAGAAAACGTCTTTTTCAATCCCTGTTAAGGCTAATATATGTCATTTAAAGTACATTTCTTTTGGTCACACTGAATAAACTCCAGCCTTGCCACACTGTTGGCATCTGTCGGTAATGTGGATATCGTGTAATCTATGAGCTATATATCAATACTAGGCATGAGATCCCAGCTGGGCTTATGTACAAGCTAAATAATTGCCCTGCCAGATAGGAATAATCACGTACCACTCCGCTCCATTAATGCCAACCCTATTCTTATTTTACGATAGGCGTTTGCTAACTATGGAGAGGATATATGCGGATCATGATATGAGTAGATACCAATGACAGCAATCAATCAGATGTATTAATCAGTGTCGTGTCATTGTTTCATTTTCCTCCCATCGTATGACCAAGCCTGAAAAAAATTAAAAACGAAAGCAAGAAAAATGAAATAAAAGAGGAAGAAAAGGAGATAGATAGGAAAGAGTATGTAGTAAATTAGAGGAAGGTTTAGAAGAGGGAAAAAAAAAGGAAGGGGGGGGGGGGGCATACGAGAGAGGGGTCAAAAAAAACAGTAGCCCCGCTGGCACAGAAAACCCTGTGAATTCCGGTACGAGTCGTACTTGTGCCAGGGAAGGCACTCACTCTCCTCTCGAGCCAACTAGCACTGGGGATTTAATGTGCATGTGCGGTTAGTGCTGCTCACACATTCAAACTTAGGCTTGTCACCTTTTTTGGAAAAAATACCATCTGTTATAATTTGCAGAATTATATGTGCATATCACATCACAAGACACAACATCACCTGATGTTCTATAATATCCCCGTAATCGTTTTGGTTTATTTAGAGCGAGTTCAATGGTCATGTCTAATAATTTGAAATTACCATTGAACTCTCTTTTGCTCACTGGAAACCAAGGAGCCCCCTCCATTGCCATGACAGGTAAAACAGCAGGGAGGGGGGCACCAATCTGTATGTGTGCAGAGCCAGCACAAATTTTACATATGGTGCCGGCTGTGTGAGGGAGGCAGCTGACTGCTGCTTGTGAAGAAGGATATGGATGGGAGGGGAAGGGGAGATATGGATGGATGGGATGGGAGATATGGAGGGAGGGGGAGAGAGACATTGATGGCAGGGGAGTGTTACAAAATGCCTTTTGTTACTGTTTCTTTAAGTGACAAATTGCCTTGCTTCCCTGGATTATGGAGAAGCCTAATTGGCAGCCGTCTTCCTCATGACTATGGCCCTGGTGTGTATGGCCCTTACGTGGGCACATTGTGACTTTTGTGAACAGTGCCCCTTAAAGACGGTGTCCCCAGACCCTTAAAATACTTTATTCATGGCTTCTTCCCACTTGGTTCAGTAAATGGGCTTACTGAACCAAGTATTACACAGGCAGACCACACAGAAGTGGAAGTGTGCGGCTAATTTACCTCCCAGGCTGGGAGGCTGCTGTAGGTTAATTGCTGACCGCTGGGTGGCCACCGTTCGTATAGACGAACACATGGCAGCGGCCATCTTTATTCAGTCAAACGCGGTCAGCGGTGTGTGCCCCTGAATTTATGGAACTAAAATCTGCTACAAAAGGGCACGAACACTGCTGACCCTTACCTTCTCGTCCACTTCGACGATTCGGCTAAATCGAGGTGCGTTCAACAGTTGAATGCACTACTATACTATACCTGTTCATGAATTCTAATGAGACTTAGACATTTTGCTGAGTGAAATTGACCGACCACACAGCCCAAATCTATGGAACTGTTTTGGGAAGGAAAGGATACTTGCGGTCGGTCACAAAGGACTTCCGACTAACTTTTTAACCCCTGGAGGGAATTGCCTGAATTTTGAGTATGTTGGTATTTGAAGTATGCTGAGTAATAATATTTTTATGGAGATTGGATGTATAGTTTTAAAGTTATGGTAAATGTGTAAAAAGTATATTTTTCCTGCCTGTGATAATCACATTAACCCATTGTGTACAGTAATTATATCACAGGCAGAGGGGAGGATTTTGCTGGAATGAATGGGAGTGTTTTACTGTATATTACGTGTTTGATTGGTTGTTCTACAAAACCCTGTGGGTGGTACTATGTGTGTAAAACCTGAATAAAAAAAAGCCCTTTGATGCTGACTCGCAGCCTTGACTCGTGTTTGTAGGAGACAGCTATAATCACTACAGGAATTGCTATGCTCTGCATACTCCCTTAGCTACTGAGTTCTTGTAAGAGCTCTTGTTCCTGATCCTGCTTCGCTCTACAGAAGGAAGAGGTTCACCTACTGGAGCCTGGTCATAGGTCCAGGGTGGATAAGAGACGGCGGGATCCCAGCCCAGCAGCGGTGGCTTGTGGAGTCTGCAGTGTTTATGGTGTCTACGGTGCTGCTGGTCCTTTGGTGAGCGCTAGGAGCATCCTTTTTATGGTCCAACTTCCAGCCAGCCTGGAGGCAACCGTAACAGGGAGCAAGGAAACATGGATGAAGGGTGATAAATGGATGGAAGGGGGGAGGCAGACATGGGTGGAGAGGCATGGATAGAAGTGGGTAGAAGTGAGCAGAGCAGAGCGTGCAGCCAAACCTTATCCTGCCTGGAGATTGCCGAGGGACTAGGGAACGGACAGTGCTCCTACACCTGAGGTGTGACACCTTACCTACCTGGCTGAGACTGCAGTTTGCAGAGCGAGCGAGCGGAGCAGACACTCCAGACAGTGGCATTACTACTGAGACAAAAGTAACCCCCCAATTGCAGTCCCTTCACCCCACTTGCAGCCTCTTACTCCCCTTCTATAGCCTCTATCCCTCCCACTACAAACTCTATGCCCACCAAACTTGCAGCCCTTATCCCCTACTACAGCCTCAATGCCCACCCCACTTGCAGCCCTTTTCCCCTACTGAAGCCCCCAACAACACGTTTACATTCATTCCCACCCACTACATCCCCCATTCTCTGACTACAGTCCTTCCCACCCCTTCTACCATCCAATATCCTCCCCACAACAGCCCCTCTGTCCCAATTGTAGCCATCCACCTACTTCAGCTTTTATCCATTTACTACAGCCTGAAGTCCCAGCTACATTTCCTAACCCCCCAATTACAGTCTACAGCCCCTAACTGCTTAATTACAGGCCTTAATACCCCACTTTCATGATGGATGACATCTGGCTACGCAAACTAATTTGTATGCTAGCCAATATCTCACTGTCAATCCTGAATCACACCACAGCATTCACAGTTACTGGCACAAGCACCTCATTCTGGTTACTCCTCTTTCATATTATGGAGAGGGATAGGTATGTACAGCTTCTCAGTTTCCTCCATTTCAGGGAGGAAAAACGACAAAAACAAACAATTGAGATGACTAAAATACCACTAAAATCAAAAGACTATGACTAAAACTAAATTGAAATTTGCTGTTAAACTTAACACTGGCCAGGACATCTGTATAGAGGAATACCTTATGAAATTCAATGGAAGACAGCTTTTCAAGTAGTATATTCCATATAATCGAGCTCACTATGGAATTGAATTGTATAAGTTGTGCAAATTCAATACTGGTGATACCTGGACATTTTGCATTTATGAAGTGAACTATAGCAATCTAGAGCCACCAGGCTGTCCCGATTCTTTGGGCACAAATAGCAAGATTTGTGTGGTATCTTCTTCCCTTGATGAACAAAAGCTATCATTCTGGCTAGACAATTATTACACTGGCATAAATGTATTTTTAAAAATATTTTATTTTGACATTCTAGCCCATGGCACAATGCAGACAAATTGTAAAGGGTTACTCTAGAATCCTACATATGGCAAAAACCATAAAGGCACAAGAACTGCTTTGCGCCATGATGGAGTGCTCACCCTTCAGTACACGCACAAAAGTCTTCCCAAAACCATACATACGGTCCGCACTTCATGATGAAAATACAGTGCTAGTGACAGTCCGCAGAAGGGATTCTCTAGAAAGTGCATTGTTGAGTAGAACAGATAGTGCTGGCTGAACACTGATCAGTATTCACAATAAAAATAGAAATGCCATGCTGGCAGTGGAGCTTGCCAGAGAAACTGATCTGACACCATTTCTGACACCTCCTCAAAAATAAACTCAATTTCACCTAAAATATCATGCATTACAACACATCCAGCTCCAAAAAACCTTAAAGGGACTCTCCAGTACCAGGAAAACAAATCTGTTTTCCTGGCACTGCAGAATCCTGCAGTGCCCCCCTCCCTCCCATGTTGCTGAAGGGGTTAAAACCCCTTCAGTGACTTACCTGAATCTAGGGCAGATGTCACTCGCCGCTGGGTCAGGCTCCGCCCATGGTCCTCTCCCGCTGACGTCAGCCGGTGGCAGAGACCCAATGCGCATGCGCAGCAACGGCCGTGCACACACGCATTAGACCTCCCCATAGGAAACCATTATTCAATGATTTCCTATGGGTATTCCGGCGACGCTGGAGGTCCTCATGCATAGCGTGAGGATGTCCAGCGTTGTTTAAAACACTTTTCGTGTTTTAGGAACACGGAAGTCCCTCTAGTGGCTTTCTGGTAGACAAGAAGAGGACTTAACCCTGCAAGATAATTATTGCAGTTTATAAAAACTGCAATAAATACACTTGCAGGGTTAAGAGTGATGGGAGCTGGCACCCAGACCACTCCAATGGGGAGAAGTGGTCTGGGTGCATGGAGTGGCCCTTTAAGTCTGCTTCTGGCACTCAAGCTGCACCCAAACAATCCGAAAAAGCTCAAACCCGGAGTCCACCTCTTGATGCTCATGGACCCAGAAGGCAATCTTTGGCAGTTCTGCGGTGGAGGGAATTATGGGAGTGGCCAACAAAACATCACCTATCGAGATGGACCACATGCTGACCATGGGGTGCTGTTCACAAAAACCAAGTACCCCGGGTGACAGCAGGGACACTGGGGCCATGGTACAAAGGCCTGTTGCAGCCCCAGCTAACATATTAGAGCAATTGGAGCAAAGAGACCTACTCAAATCTCAAGCTGGACAACACAAATCCTCAAAATCTTTCAAAGGTTCAGCGCCTGCTACAAAACAAGATTTTAAGGTTCTATTAACCAATATTCACAAAGTGCTGGTGGCGGACCTGGTGCTTTTTAAAACTCATGTGCAAACATTTACTGAACATCAGTAAGCATCAGCGCATCAGAGAATATCTTGGATGGCTCAGTGGCTCAGTGCAACAGCTTCAAAATCACCAGAGGTTTCACACCATGATCGGCGATCACCTGGCCTCCGCATCTGACGCCAGCCTATTAATCAGACTTAAGTTTTCTCAGACACAACCTCAGAAAGACACAACCTCAGAAATAATTTAAAGTGAAATTGGACATTTCTAAAATTCTTAGAGACAGTTACTTATTATTAAATTCTATCAAGTCCCAGCTAAAGCTTGTTAAAATATCCAGTTTAGTGACTAAATAGAGTTGAATCTGCAGTTGTGTTCCAGTCTTTCATTGAATTTTGAATAGTATTGAAAGACATTGTCTAGCCAACTAATTGCCCTTGAGGACTGACAACGACGTAAATCACATCAAAACTCACACCATACCCGGTGCAATATCAGCCGAGGAGTTGCCACACTTTAAACGGAGGCTGTTGACATCTATATTGCCTCCTACAATTGCCAAGACTGACTGCATGGGTCCTCACCAACATCACCCCTCGAGAGTTGAATGTCCGCCTTCTTAGGAAAACTGACTAAAGTAGGCAGTTGAACTAGTCCAGTATGGCCTACTACATGTTGGGCATCAAGCCACAGTTCCAGCCTACACCCTGTTCCAAATTATTATGCAAATTCTATGCATAATAATATTTTGTTTTTCAGTTTAACTCATGGATGGCATTGTGTCTCAGGGCTCTTTTGATCACTGAAAATAATCTCAGACACCTGTGATAATTAGATTGCCAGGTGAGCCCAATTTAAGGAAAAACTACTAAAGGAGGGTGTTCCACATTATTAAGCAGAGCACCATTTTCATGCAATATGGGGAAGAAAAAGGATCTCTCTGCTGCCGAAAAGAGTGAAATAGTTCAATACCTTTGACGAGGTATGAAAACATTAGATATTTCACGAAAACTTAAGCGTGATCATCGCACTATTAAGAGATTTGTGGCTGATTCAGAGCACAGGCGGGTTTGTGCAGATAAAGGCACATTGAGGAAGATTTCTGCCAGATCCATGCATCGGATCAAGAGAGCAGCTGCTAAAATACCATTACATTGCAGCAAACAGACATTTGATGCTGCTGGTGTCTCTGGAGTCCCACGGACATCAAGGTGTAGAGTCCCTGCAGAGTCTTGCAACTGTGTATAAACCTTCTATTCGGCCACCACTAACCAATGCTTACAAGCAGAAACGGCTGCATTGGGCAGAAAAATACATAAAGACTAATTTTCAAACAGTCCTGTTCACTGATGAGTGCCGTGCAACCCTGGCTGGTCCAGATGGATGAAGTAGTGGATGGTTGGTGGACGGCCACCCTGTTCCAACAAGGCTGCGATGTCAGCAAGGCGGTGGTGGAGTCATGTTTTGGGCCGGAATCATGGGAAGAGAGCTGGTCGGCCCCTTTAGGGTCCCCGAAGGTGTAAAGATGACCTCTGCAAAGTATGTGGAGTTTCTGACTGACCACTTTCTTCCCTGGTACAGAAGGAAGAACTATACTTTCCGTAATAAAATCTTCATGCATGACAATGCACCATCTCATGCTGCAAAGAATACCTCTGCATCAATGGCTGCTATGGGGATAAAAGGAGAGAAAGTCATGGTGTAGCCTCCATCCTCCCCTGACCTCAATCTTATTGAGAACCTTTGGAGCATCCTCAAGCAAATGATCTATGAGAGTGGGAGGCAGTTTACAGCCAAACAGCAGCTCTGGGAGGCTATTCTGACATCTTGCAAACAAATTGAAGCAGAAACTGTCAAAAACTCACAAGTTCAATGGATGCAAGACTTGTGAAGCTGCTATTAAAATGTAACGTGACCTGTTAAAATGTTTAAAAAGGTTAAAATGTTGTTATAAGTTTGATTGAAATAGCTTTATTCAGTAAATATGCTGCAAACACAACAAATGCCAATTTTCAGTTCTTTACAACCTATAAAGTGTTTTGAAACTTACTGTGTGTAATAATTTGGAACAGTGCACTGTAAGTTTTTTATGTTTAAAAAAAAAATACTGTTATCATTAGGAGTGTAACGGATCACCTGGCACCCCGACTGGGTACCTCCGTTGAAGGATGCTCCTAGCGCTTCCTGAGGACTCCAAGCACTGCAGCAGACACCACAATCACCGAACCAGAGAAACGTATACCTTCTCTCAAGCATATGAATGCTGTAGACAGTTGAATAGGAACCATACGAATAGGTTTACTCTCCTAGCAGTCAAACTGGAACAGCATACAATGAATCCTTCCCCCAATAATGAGACGACACTTCACTTTGAGGGTTAAAACAGGAACTCCCTGTACTGTCACATACAGTCTCTTTTATTCCCAATCCACAAACATAGTACAGCCCACAGGGAGTTACAAAACAACCAATCACATCACAGTTACATCCCACATATTCCCTCCCCTTATCCTGAGAGGAAACTCAATTATACATACAGTTAAAACATACTTTCTACCCAACTTTCATAACTCTAAAACCATACATCACATTCACATAAAATTACATATTCACAATCAATCCATTCAGGGGAACAACATATTCAAAAATGGCACAAATCAGACAAGGGGTTCAAAAGTTAGTAAAAAGTCCTTTGTGACTAAATGAAGCATGGCTTTCTGGCCCAAACCAGTTTCAGAGTCTTCTATCCTGGAGATAAGTAATTGAATTATCTCCCAGGACAGACACAAGACTCCATTAAGCACATGGTTGCAAAAAGACACAAAACACTTTAAAATACATAAAGTCACATTTTACACATAACACACAGACATTTCACATATCCCCAGATAGCTGGGATCTGAGTGCACATTATTAGATGAATGGCACTCAGATCACACAAATAAGCCTTTCTGCAGGGGAAATAAACAGTTTAACCTGCAGGGCCATAGTCCAAAGGGAGCAGGCGAGCAACCAGGCTTCTCCAGTTCACAGTGGCGAGGTTGGTTTCGCCACAAGGAGGTTTGTTCAATAAAATTTGAATTGTACTCTTAATAGTTGATAACATGCTGACTGTTATTTACATCAATTATTTAGGTAAATGAGAAAAATATCATATGCATAATAATTTGGAACAGGGTGTATATACCTATTGTGTGCTTGTTTATTTTCCTAGTATATATTTATGTTTATATTCAACTAGAGAGGTTTTGCTCAAGAGCTGGTTTTATACTAATCAGATTGGTTGTGGGATGACACAGGGGAGCCGCAAGATATTTTCCCGGTGCTATGCTTATAGCACCGGGAACTGTGCCTTCCTCTCCCCTGTTGGCTCTGCAGGACCGGAGTGCCACAAGGTAGGTGGGTGCCATCAGGGCTGACTAGGCTTGGGTTTCTGTGAGCTGTGTGGCTGCACAGCAGCCACGCAGCTCACACGCAGGGGCTGACACAAGAACGGCAGGAGAACTTCACGGATAGTTGGGGCGGAGCAAAATCGGCAGTGGGGCAGGTCTACATTGGATGCAGGAGTGGAGCTTAAGGCAGTCTCCATTTGCTGCTCTTATTACTGCACACTGAGGGGTACCAGGAAGAAGTCCCTGCTTCCCCAACAACTAGACACTGGAGACTTCAGCACATACTTTCAGTAAGTGAGAGCGTGTGAGCTGTGTGTATAACTGTGATTGTGTGTGTGTGATTGTCTGCCCGTGACTCCATTTGTGACTGTCTGTCTATAATTGTGCGTGTGACTGCATGCCTGTAACAGTGTGTGTGGGATGGTCTACCTGTTACTATGTGTTTGACTGTGTGCGAGTAGCTATGTTCCTGTGGCTGTATTTGACAGTATATGTTAATAACTGTGTGCATCTGACTGTCTTTGCCCTGCAGTGAGCCGGTAGCCAGACTATAACGTCATTCCAGCATCAGCATCATTACAGGGCACGTGAGGGACCTGTGCAGGGAGAGCATAGAGATCGCAGCAGCAACCATTGACCACCAGGGACTGAGGATCAATTCCAGCCCTCCCAGAGCAAGGTAGGGAGGCTGGGTGGACCTCTTAATTAATAAATGTGTGTATGTATGTGTATGTCTAATGCAGGGCTCGACAAATCCCCGGCGCCAGATCGCCATGACGAATGGAAATGTCGCCCTAGCGTCTGGGATTTGCCAGCTCTCTAGTTAGTGAGCTTTGACGGCAGCCGTCATGGGGAATATTGGAGGCGGCTGCCGGCCCGCGGAAGCATTGTGGGCGGCGTGCGAGGGAGCAGTGTGGGCGGCGTGCGAGGGAGCAGTACTCTACCTGTAGCTCCTCTCTGCTCCATCGCGCTGTCTAATGTCAGGAGCAGGAATATGACGTCATTCCAGCCCCGGCATCATTAGAGTGCGAGGGAGCAGAGAGGAGCTACAGGCAGAGTACTGCTCCTTCGCATACAGGAAGAGAGCAACGCCACTGGACCCCAGGAAAGACCCACTCAGCTCTCCCAATGGTAGGGAGCCTAAGTGGTTTCAATTAAAACAAAAATGTGTGTGTGTGTTTGTGAGAGAGAGAGCCTGTCAGTGTATCTGTGTGTGAGAGCACCTGTCAGAGTTCGTGTGTACAAGTCTGTCAGAGTGTGTGCAAGCCTATTATCAGCGAGTGAGTGTGTGAGCCTGTCAGATTGTGTGTGTGTGCTGTTGGAGTGAGCGAGCCTGTCAGGTTGTGTGTGTGCGCTGTCGGAGTGAGCGAGCCTGTCAAAGTGTGTGTGTGTGAGAGAGCCTGTGTGTGTGTGTGCAAGCCTGTCAGAGTGTGTGTGAGCCTGTCAGTGTGTACGTGCGCGTTTAGGTACCAGCCCCCTCCGATCACATGAGGAAGGTGTTTACTCACCTTTCTTCCCATTTTTCCACGCCGTACCAGTTTCACCATGGCTGAGATAATCAATCTTTATGATCTCAGCTAAGCCAATGCTTTCCCTTAGGAAAGCATTGGGAAGATTTTATGCATGCGCAGCAAATGTACCAATCCGCATCTCCTCATAGAGATGCATTACTTTAATCAATCTCTGTGAGGAACATTCAGCGCCTCGATGCAGAGCTTGGAGACAATGAACCTGGGTGCTGCACGTGGTGCAGCAGTGACCCAGGACTCTCTAGTGTGTTAGTAAGCAGCAGAGGTGTTAATAAGCAGCAATGTAAACTTTGCCTTTTTGCAGATATAAACTCTGCCTTTTCGCGGAAAAGGCAGTGTTTAAACTGAAACGTCTGCAGGGACAGGCTATAGACACCAGAACAAGTACATCAAGCTGTAGTGGTTCTGGTGACTATAGTGTACCTTTGGGAATTGCACTTCTTCATTGAAAATGACTGGCTCCTAATCTTTTTAGCTGGCTCCTATACTCTAAACAAATTTGTCAAGCCCTGGTCTAATGTGTGTCTGTGGGTCTCTGTGATTAAGTGTGTTTATGCATGTGATTGTGTGTGTGTGGATTGCACCCTAAAGCACAAACACATGCCGCATGGATATATAAAAATACATATACATACACACCTATATATACAAATAGGGTGCAGCGTGTAAGGGGTACAGTGTGTGTGATTGTGAGGAGTACAGTGTATGTATGATTGTGATGGATGCAGTGTCTGTGGGGTACATTGTGTGTGATTGTGATCGGTGGGTAGTAGTGTGAGAGAAGCTTTGTACGCTTGGATAGGGGTCTGAGAGGAGTGCAGCTTTTAAATTTCATTATACTTATTTTAATTTTTTATTTTATTTCAAAAGGCATATTTTATTCACATCATCTTGCATACATTGACAGTAGGAAATGCGGACATGTGACAGTATAAGCTGGTATACGGTATTGTTGCAGCATTACATTGTAGTACAGGTAGCCATGATATCCATATTGCAATTTCAGAACTTAAAGCCAAGGCATCAATAGAGTATTCTACATGGATCGCATCTACTTGTTTGCGTTTGTAGTTAGGAGTGTGAGTGTATTGCAATAAGATATAATACACGGTAACATTGCAGAAGCATATTACATAATGAATGGACACATTTATAAAGTTTTGCTTGTTGAACTCAATAACGAATAGATTAATTAGTGGTATTATCAGTGGTAGTCTCAGGTACCTGCATTAATGTTAGTGGAAGTGCATCATAATTATAGACGCGTACCTTATAGATTTAGCTAATAGTCGGTACGGAATCATGTGGGATGTAGTGTTGCTGCTGGGGTCATGTTTCTGCAGCCCAGGCTACATATTAGGTTTGTAACAAGTATATCTCTACCTGGCGACCTGGAAAACTATAGTGCCATAAAATAAATTATAAGAGAAGGGGAAAAGTAAAAAGGGAAAGGGTGCCCCCGAGAGTGTGGAGGGGCTCGTGGGATAGGGCCCAACGTGAAGATCCCTGGGTAGGTCCTCGTGAACCCCAGGGATCTTGATCCAAGCACGTGCGGCCAGGTTATATGAGTTAGAGAAGAAAAAATAAGTAAGTAAAAAATACTGACTGCCTTAGGTGAGAGCTATCCTTGCCTATGAATGCGTCCAAGCATCCTCTAGGGGTATTATGAAGCCTCTGTAGCGCCCACTCAATGCACCAACATCAGGGACCCGTGAGTGCCACCATCTGCATCAACATCCGACTCTTGATAAAGCTCCCCACTATGAGCTTCTCTGTACAGCGGGCACTCGAGGGACCCCCCCCCAGTCCGTGAGACCCCCCTCTCCTAGAGTCCACCAACCGGACGGCCTCTGCACCTCCACTGTCCGGTAGAGTCTTGGTGAGTCAGACATGGCACCTCCGTGGGCCACCTCTATCGCCGGCCACTTCTCCTAGGCATACTCCCCGCGGCCACCGGTCCGCCGCAACCCCCACAGACCAGCCTGGCCGGGCTCACAGCAACGGGGAGCAGCCTCCTCCGGATCTCCCTGAAATAGAGGTCACCACTGTCCAACCTGAGACAGCCTGGTAGTCATGATGTCACTGCCCGTCAGTAGCTCTCCCGGTGTGCCGAGTGATGCGTGAGCAGTCTCCTGGGTGAGTATGTTAAGGGTGGTTTTGTCAGCTCCTTGAGAAGGCAAATAGGGGGTTGTCACAGTGTGAGTGTTGCCTCCAATGCAGTGGCTGAGTACATGCGGGTAGAGCTGCCTCAAGCGTCCCGCAATTGCAGGCTGGTAATCATTAGCTTATATATGGAACTTGCAGTTTAAGTCAGGAAACATGTGAACTAGTGAACTGGATAACCCTACGGTCCTGGAGGGGGTTCGGGGCCGCAGCGCAGTTCTTCCGGTTGCCTCTTACACGTTGGAAAAGGCCGGCGCTTCCATATCGTGTTTGTTCACGGAACATGTGCAAGGCATTTCCAGGCTCAGCAATAGGCCACAGGTTCATGCCATCTAGTAGGCCCGAGCTTTCAGATTCCTAACATTTGTGGGGTCTTTGGCCGCCGACTGGTCTCTTTGTGATGCTGGCCAGTTTCTCCAATCAGATAGTGTTTTGAAAGGTAGCTGGTCGGTTTGTGAGCGGTAAATCAGTTGTTTTTTTTCGTGCTTAGGACCGGAGCTGCATGAGATGGCTTCCTTTCAGCTCGACGGTCCGGCCCCTCCCCAACCCTTAATATATATTTTTAAGTGTTAACCCCTCCCCTTTCAACCCTCCTTGTTTCTTACCTCTCAACCTTCACCTCTGTTGGGTGAAGGCTCTGCACCACATGGAATAGAGTGTTGCCGTGTGGGGACTGAAAGTGTTTGGGAATGCTAATAGTGTATGTGGTGTCCGTGTGTGTGCGTGGGGATGATAGGGTGTGGGTGGGGGGATGTGACCGGATGTGTCCGTGGGGATGACAGGGTGTGGGGTGGAGTGGCTGTGACTGGGGGTGTGGAGGAGCAGTGACAGGGGGTAGAGGGGCAGTGACATGGGGTAAAGGGTGGAGGGACAGGGGGTAGGGAGGGTGGAGAGGCAGTGACAGAGGGTAGGGGGTAGAGGGGCAGTGACAGAGGGTAGAGGGGCAGAGATGTGTCTGTACCTTGGGCGGCACTTTGCAGGGGGCGGCAAAAAAAAGCGTGCCCAAATGCCCAGGCAGATCCCTTGTTTGCCTCGTGTCCTGGGGGGCTCAAGAGCTGGTTGGCTACTTTTGAGCCCCCCTGAGGTGGCCAGCGAGGGAGCATACTCACCTGTGCTCTTCCTACTCAGCTCCCTCTGCGCCACTTAATAAAGCAGGGAGCCGTAATATGATGTCACTCCTGCTCTCAGCATCACTAAGCGGCGCGCGAGGGAGCTGAGCAGGAAGATTAATGCTTCCTTGCTGCCTACTCTGCCTGTCTGCCCCCTGCCTGCCAGGGGCTCGGGGATAGATGGGCAGTGACAGGGGTAGGGGGTGGAGGGCCAAATGACAAGGAAGTGTATAGATACCTGTGGGAGAAACATGCTTCTCCCATTCCAGTTCGAGAGAAACATGTTCCACATAAGTAGATCTGCCGTGGCTTGGGCGTTGAGTGAGATTCGGCTTTGGTCATCAGGGAAAGTAGGTAGTAGACTCAACAGTCTGGAAATGAATGCTCTACCTTGTGGGATGATTCTCATTGCAAAGTTTAGTGAGCCTAGCAGCGATTGTAATTCTTTCTGGTTACATGAGCCGATATGTCTGTAATGATGTCATGGAGAATGCTCGTGATTTTTTTTCCTGGGAAGACTGGCTTCCCTGGCCACAAATCTAGTTGTATCCCTAAGAAATTGATAACAGTGTTGGGAGCCTCCGCTTTCTTAAGTGAGACCATACCATTAATGAATTAAATAGCTTGACTGCTTTAACCAAACTGCATGAGGTTGAGGAATGGTTTTTAATAAATAAGAAATCGTCTAGATAATGTATGACTGTGTGGCACCTGCACAAATTCAGGAGGCAACACAGAGTTTCCGCAAAGGTGTCAAAAATCCTTGGGCTACTCTTAGACCCGAAGGTGAGCCTAGTGAAAAAATAATATAGGCCTCTCCATTTGATACCGGGCAAGTGCCACAGTGATGGATGCATGGATAATAATTTAAAGGCATTGACAGTGTTGGTCCTGCTTAAGCCATGCACCAATGCCAGCCGCCATGATAGCATCTATAGCATTGTCAATTGTGGTGTATTGCAGTGAGAACTCCTCTGAGGGTATTAGTGAATTAAGGCTCGGGACTACTGGAGGAGTGTGATGCAGGGAGATCTATAATCAGTCTCTGCTAAGCAGAGTTTTTCCCGGTGACCAGGCCAATAGGCCAGTTGGAAAAAGGCAGCACCTTGAAAGGCCCGAATATAAACTCCTGCTCCAGTTCTGGTTGCAATAACGCCCTCTATCACTCTATCAACTCAGTGTTAGCCATAGCTGACTGCGGGTTACTACACTCCAAAATTCCCGCTGGCAAGTGAATAAGGCCCATGTGGAACCGCTGGGTGAAACCTGTTATCAAGAACTCAACCAGGTGTCTTGAAGGGTGAGTGGATAGCAGATGAGCTAGAACACCAACATTAACCGAGGTCAAATAAGGCTTACGATGCATTTTATTTGGGCACATGGTTTTCGCATGAGCCCCCAAACAGTGAGAGCAAACATGCAACAAATGACAGGCACTTTAACCACATGAACCTTAAAATTATTGCAAATTTGCGACTTGCCAAGGTATACAATCGGGCGGCCCAGTTTATCCTTGCCCTGTTTCTCAACCCTATTAGTGCCCGGGTTGGCCATGGTAGGGGTGGTGTCAGGTGTAGTGGGACAGAAGTTGGCCAAATGCATGTTTGATGCACAAATTGCACAAGCTGGGGTTCTTAGCCCAACGAAGTGTCCATGGAACAGCTCTGGGTCCAGTTGGCTCTAATCCAACCTGACATTGTACTGGGCCAGAGCTGCAGCCGCTTTTGCTGAAAATGACCGGTGGTAGTCGTAAAAAAACGTATCCCCGTATCTGTTGCCAAGATCTACCAGCTTGTGCATATAGAGGTCCAACTCCTCCCCCCTTCTATGTGGGTGCCCTGAACACAACACATCCCTATAAATACCAAATGCAAAGACAAAATTTGGAATTGATTGTTTTTTGCAGAGTCTTGGATCTCTAGCTTTTAGTACCACCGAGATATCCCCATATGCGTAAGTGCGATTCTCAACGACATCCTGGGAAGCAATCAGAAGGGAGACAAAAATTTACATCTTTGCCCCCCAGTCTTTAAGATTCGCCGGTACTGCACTAGCAAGTACACTATTACCCAGTTGTAACTGTGGCTGACCTGGAAGTTCAGCTGTGAAAGGCTCAGTTGCAGTAACGGGAAGGCTACGTGCTTCCAGTCATTCAAGCCTGTCTTTAATTTTCCCCATTGAGGACACTAGGGAAGCGTATGAAGGTTGGTGTCGTTTGAGCCACTCGAGCCCTCCTCTGCGTCTGTATTATCTGTGCAGATGCGCATGAGCCAGAATAGTTCCGCTTTCCTGGCTGTTGCTGGGAAAGGGATGCCGCGTTTACGTAGCTCGGCTGTGATGCGGGGCTACTGGCGTCGCGCTTGCGTGGCTGGAGTGCTGAGAACTGATACATCAGTGACATACTGTGACATACTGAAATATAGTAATAATATGATTCGGTAGTGATATGTGCGGTTGTGTAAGTGTGAGTAGTATGTCTTCTGCAAACAAATTTGTTTTGTATTCTCTAGCTCCTATCTCCAGACCGTGTATCACAGTGTTGTCCTGTATTTTGATCGCCAGCGGCTCCAGCGCTAGGACATATAACAGGGGGGACAAGGGGCAGCCCTGCCTCGTGTCATTCGTGAGTTGGAACGGTTCGGACAGAAATCCTGCGTTGAGTACTCTTGCTGAGGGCTTGCTATATAGGGCCTGTACCACCGACACAAACCCCAAGGGGATCTCGAACTTGTTCAGCACTGCTCTAAGAAACCCCCAATGGAGGCGGTCAAAGGCTTTTTCGGCGTCAAGGGAGACCATCAGTCCCCCCCCCCCCACACGCCTATTTTTCAGGTGGTGGAGGATGTTAATAACCTTCCTGGTATTGTCTGCCCCCTGTCTTCCCTTGATGAAGCCCACCTGGTCATTGTGAATTGTGTGTGGTAGTATTTTTCCCAACCTATTTGCGTACAGTTTAGCGAATAACTTCGCATCTGTATTGAGGAGGGAGATGGGTCGAAAGTTTTGCGGAATTGTCGGGGCCTTGTTCGGTTTAGGGAGTGTGACGATGTGAGCAGCCAGTGTTTCTCTAGGGAGTTCGCCCTTGTGGGCTGCCTCCTTAAACATTCTGGCTAGGTAGGGCGCTAGTATTGTGCTGAATTGCTTATAGTACTGGTTGTCAAACCCATCTGGTCCTGGGGATTTTCCCGATGGGAGGCTTTTAATTAGGTCCCTAATCTCCTGGATTTCTATCGGTTCAATAAGGGCCGACTGTTGTTGGGGCGTGAGCTTGGGTAACTTTACCTCCTCAAGGTATTCCGTAATACCAAGTTGTGTTGGGTGTTTTGTTTGCGCGTCTTCCTGAATGTTGTATAGTGAGGAGTAGTACTTTGCAAATACCTCGCTTATTCCCTTAGGGGTGGAGATTTTAATGCCTGTTTCGTCTGTGAGGTAAGATATTTTCTGAGCCGCCTGTCTTGTTTTTAGTCGCTGTGCCAGTAGTTTGCTTGCTTTGTTGCCCTGTATGTAATGGGTTAGTTTGAGCTTTTGCATGTTGGAGGTCACTGTGGCTAACGCCTGCTGGTGTATGAGTTTCGTGATCTGGGCTATCTTAGCTTTCGTCTCTGTAGACGGGGTGTGTTGGTTTAGTCTGTTCATCTCATACAGTTCTGCTTGCCATGTCCTAAGTTGTGTTTGGCGTGTCTTTTTTATATATGTTGCCCTGCGTATTAGTAGGCCTCGAGCTACTGCTTTGTGGGCGAGCCATAGAGTTGCGTCTGTGATATCATTTGTGTAGTTTTTCTGGAAATATGTTTGAAGGCCCCCCTTCAGGGAGTCTACAAATTCATCATCCCTCAGTAGGGAATTATTGATTTTCCACGGGCTGCGATGTTTAAAATCGTAATTATTTTTTAGCTCTATGGTTACTGGTGCGTGATCTGACCATGTGATTTGCTGTATGTCACTATGAAGGAGTTGGTCTAGCGCTGACCCTGAGATTAGGAAGCCGTCTATTTTAGAGTAGGAATTATGTACCGCTGAGTAGTGGGTATATGCCCTTTCTACCGGGTGAGTGGTTCTCCACGCTTCATATAGATGGTGGTCATGCAGGAGTTTCGCTATGGCTCTACATTGTCTCTTGAGGGGGCGGTGGTGTTTCCGGTGTGGTGGGAGAGTTGTGTCTAGTTGTGGGTCCACTATGTGGTTAAAGTCTCCCCCTATTACTGTAATACCCGTTTGGATTTGGTCTATTTTGGTCAAGATTTTATGCAAGAAATTTCTCTGGTTTGTATTCGGGGAGTATATGTTGGCGATGGTATATAACATGTCATTAAACAGCCCCGTGAGTATGATGTAGCGGCCATTCGGGTCTATGTCTGCTGAGTGTAGTGCGAATGAGACGGCTTTGTGTATTAGGATGGATGCTCTTTTTGCTTTCGCGGGTGATGTGGCGTGGAATTGATGTGGGAAGTCGGTGGTCAGAATAGGTGGGTGGTCGTTGTGCTTAAAGTGGGTTTCCTGGAGGCATAGTATATCTGCCCCTAGGGCTCTAGCCTCCCTGAAAAGTAGGTGTCTTTTGACTGGTGCGTTGAGGCCCCTGACATTAAAAGAGCAGATCTTCACGGTGGTTTATGGTTGTGGTACTCATTAGTTCTCGCGCGGTAGTCTATGACTTGAGGGGTCCCTGCTCTCCCTAGCTTTGTCGAGCTGAGCAGTGTGGCTCCCTGTGTGATGGGCATTGTCCCTATTGGGCTTGCAGAGCAGTCTGGGACCATGGTCTTGTCTTTTGTTGGTCGCCCTAGTATTCGCGTGGCGGTTTGTGTTGGGTTACCCACTAACCCTATCTTCTGTTTGTTGGTAAAACGCAAAACTTGTGGGGTATAAACATTGCATACAACAACATACAATAAAACAATAACATTAACAAAAGTATTTACATAAACATACGTATCCCTTGTTCGTGCCGGTAGGTCGGCTAGGCACTGCCTGGTCGTGCCTTGGGGGAAGAGGCTCATTGCCTCTCGTCCATTGGGAGCTGTCTCCCTCTGCGGCTATTTCTGTTTTTCTCGTTGGGAGGTCCCAACTGTAGGCTATAGCCTAGGAACGTGAAAATGGTTGTGTATACCAATATGTTACTTGTATTGTTATGTGTTTTTTTTTTCTGAGTTAATAGCATTGATCTGGCCCTGTTCCCCTGTGTCTATTTTAGGTATATGTTAAGAGAATGTGTGTGGGTGTCTTTACGGCTGATCACCTCTTAGTCGGCAGGTAAATTATGCTGACGTGGTTTGGCCCGTTAGTCTGGGCGGGGGTTACTAGGCTATGGTTTTCAATTCTTTTGGTCCCTCTATTCTATAGTATGGAGTCCCCCACATGTCCCCTTGCTCAGTCTGGACCATTTAAGTTACCCTATGGGTGTGATGTAGTTTCTTACATTACCCTGCCTCTCGGTAGGTAGTCTTGTGCTCTTTAGGTGCTATAGAACACTCCCACTCACAGTCTCCGTCTTTTATCTCTTTTTCGCCTTCTTCCATTCCTGTGAGGCCTTGGCTCTGTTTCTCCCTTGGTCCGTCGATGGAGTAATTTCTATGTTCCAATCCCGCATGATTCGTTGGCCGTCCTCCGGGGATCCGATGACAGTGGTCTTCCCCTCTCTCATCACCAGGAGCTTGGTGGGGTAGCTCCATCTGTACGGGATATGGTTGTCTCTGAGCTGTGTAGTTAAGTCTCGGAAATCTCTCCTTCTCTTTAGGGTGAATGAGGAGATATCCGCATATATGGTAACTCCTCTGAAGGCCGTAGGCCAGTCTTTCCGCCTCTTGCTAGCGTTGAGTATTGCTTCTTTAGCGTGGTAATAATGCATAGCAGGATGTCTCTTGGAGTGTCTGCTGGCAGGAATTTTGGTTTGGCGGTTCTGTGGATTCTGTCTAACAGGAACAAGTCCTGTGGCAGGTCTGGAGCCAGTTCCTTCAGCAGGCCTGTGATGTGGGTGGTGAGGTCTTCTGTTTTTACCTCTTCCGTAACTCCCCTTACACGCAAGTTGTTGCGGCGGGCCCGGTCCTCCATATCCGCAATCTTGAGGTCCTGGTTATCCAGTCTTGTTACTAGCCCCTCTACCGTGTCTGCTAGGGAGTTGTGGGCCTCTGCCATCTCCGAGAGTTGGTCCTCTGTATGTGATGTACGTTGGCCTATATCCTGTAGTTCTCTTCTGAGATCTTTGATAACGCTGTCCATTTTCCCCACAATCTTATCGGACATTTCCTCTAGCAGTTTTTTCAGAGTGCTGTGGGTCAGTGGGTTGTCACTTTCATTTTCGCCAGCCTGGGTCTCTGTTTCCAGTTCCCCTCCAGCGCCATCTTGTGAGTGCTCTGCCTGGATTGAGGCCTTCCCCTGCCCTGCTCTGGAGGCAAAGAAGCTGCTTCTCTCACCCCTCTCGCCGGTCCTCTTACTTTTTGGCTGGGACATTGTAGCAGCGGGCGGCATCTGGGTCTGGTCTGAGGCTATAGCGTGCTACTATGGCTCCTTTTTAGCCGTCGCGGCACGGAGCTCGAGCTACATGCGGCTGCTCCGGTCCGCGTCCAGGACACGCCCCCCTCAGATCACACTTTATAACCAATTTGTGCAGAAATCCAGATCATTCCAAAGGGTTCACATACTTTTTCTTGCCTAGGAAATAATTTTTTTAAAATTCTTTATTTTTGGTAAGTCAGTGAGTTACAAGGTACTTTTTTAGAAGCAAATACGTATTGCGTATAACAGAAAGGTAAGTACAAACATTGAGTTTCACATTGATGCACCCCCTTCCCCCTAGCAAAATGTGCTTGCGTACTGACGACTTTGTATTATCTCAGTTTGTATACCTCTTCACCTTCAACCATTAACAATTAACCATCAACTGTTTCCAGGAGAGTTATTGTGTATGCATACGGTGCCTATTGATCTACGTCCGTTTGGCAGACTTGTACCTAGCATGGTGGCTTACTCTAGGAAATCATTTTAACTTGGGTTGCCTTGGAAAAATATTGAAATATCAAGGGTGCCTTGAACTTTGGGAACCACTGATATAGAACATAAAGCTTGAATTTGAAGTTATGTTTTGGTTCAGAACAACATGCTCCATCCTTAAATGGTACAATTAGAGCACCAATACAATTTTAGATTTTGGCCTCAATAATATGCTTTTTTTTTTTTTTGCATACTCAAATCTTAGGTTTTGCACAAATCGAATGAAGCACCACATTTATTTTTTGTAAAAACTATAAGGATTTGAGCATGCAAAAAAAAAACAACCCCCACCCCCCCCGCATATTAATGGGGCCAAAACCTCTCAAATGCATTTAAGTTGTATTGGTGCCCAGAACACTATAGTATTAGGAATACACGTGTATTAGTCACATTTTTTGGGGGTGGGTTAAAAAGATGAGCTTACAGGGTGCGGGGCCTGACAGCCAAGATGGCCGGTTGCGCTTTCTAGGAGCTCCGGCAACACTGAGCGAAAATAAGCATATCATGATCGATTCGACACCCAACGAAGCTCTGTGTGCCCGGAGGTCTGAGCAGAAACAAGCAGGAAACCTGTCCCATGCGAACACGCCACGATAACGCTCTGTCCGGCCATGCGGCCTAGCTTTGAGCGGGGCCAGGAGTCTGGGGGAGGCGGCAAATTCCCCCGGCACAGGACACTCACTGCAGCCACTCCCGGTGGGAGTTATCCAGGACCCCGCTGGGGTTACTTACTGCAACACCACAGACCGAACCCATGCAGACACAGAAGGTACTGAAGTTGGCAGACACAGCCTCACTCATGCGATCCTGAGAGAGTCCCACTGCCTGCCTCACTGAGCAAGCCGATTTCTCCGCAAGGCTGGACGCAACATTCGATGATTTTTGGAGAAAACTGGCCCTATGCCAAAAGCAGCAAGCACAACCTGAGCAGGATGACAGCCCATCTCAGAGTCCACGAGGTACACACAAAAATGGCCGCGGTGCCTGGTCTCCAGCTCCCTCACAGCCAATCTCACCGTTTAACTCCCTATGTCATACAGCGGACAGCTGCAGGGACCGCCCAGTCTCCTTCTGGGCTGGGAATGCACCCTACCCATCACCCATATACCCGGATGGACATCCTGTGATCGGGGCTATTCTCAGGGCTATGCATACATTTTATTTTTTACTTGTAAGGCTACTAAGGCACCACTACACTTGCCAAATTGTGCTCCCGAGTAATAGAGATTTAGCTTACATTAACCCAGCCTGAAAATTTTTCGTTTATATTGCATGTTTTTCAAAAGTTAATCAGCATTACGACCTGACCACTGTCTTGTACTTGTTCTTACCACAACATGAAAACAAAATGTGGGCTAATGTTATACATGCCATGATATATTACTTGTTGTAACTAAACTTAATATCTCGGTCGTAGTGTACCTAGCTCACCTGTTTCTGCTTGCACTACTATAAATAAGTACTAATTCGTATCCATTAGTTTACGCCCCTCATATAGTCAGTGTAACCAAATTCTTATGTCGCTTTGTCTTTCCGCTGACTACTTTCCCTTTCCTATTCATACAATTGACAAAAACGCAGTTTAGCTACTATACTCTTAAAATACTGTACTGTTTATTCGAAATGAAACGCAACGTTCTCTCTAACTGCATTTGATGTCATGCTCACTGTTTCATTGTGTATTTAACAGACACCTGCAATTGCTGTTGTGGCATTGTGGGTTGCACTGTATAGTCATGCACGACCAAAAATAAAGAATATAAAAAAACAAACAAAAAAACCCAAAAACGATGAGTTACTTACCTGTCTTCCTCGCAGCGCTGGTCTCCAGCATGCTGCTTCGCCTCCTTGATTGAGATCGATTCTCACAGCCAATTCGATGCTTTACCCATAGAAGAAAAACCAAACATTGGGACACTCGCTAAATGCCATGCTGCACCAGTCAGATGGTCTCTATAAGACCATTTGATTAAAATAGTGGAATTTTACTCCATTTTCCAAGTTCTTCTAGTGGCTGCAGAATGCCAGTTTATTTTTATGTAGTGTTGAAATATGGGGGGACGGGAAATGGCACCCAGACAAAATTGAGATAAAATGATCCGGGTGCCTTTTAGAGTTCCTTTAAGGTGTTAAACCCTAAATCCTTTCATGATGAGATTTGTCCAAATGTCCTTTGATTTGTTGGTTTACCAGTTATGTTTTTTTTGCTTTGCATTTTACATACATAAGGTACAGGCTGGTTTTAAAGTGCTATATGATTGGGCATATACTATTTTTGATGACTTATACAATATATTTTGTGCTTAAGGTACAATTGGTGAAAGAAAAGATACTATAGGTTAATTAATATAATCTTTATTAAAATGACAGCACACACTGGTGTACAAAAATAATGTGACATAAAAGCTGTGTCTGTAGAGTGATCAAAGCTTTCTGGTAAAAAAGCAAGTAGAACTGCGTGAGTAATGCATCCATACTCTATACCAGACAGGCCTGCAAAGCACTGAAAAACAGATACTTCCAGCAGCCAAGCAGCTAATGAGTATTGTACAAATTTAAAAGGCCTGCTTCCATCCAGAAGCACACATCTATTAAACACCTCCTGAATGTTTTGCCACCAGTAAAAAAAAAAAAACACATCTGCTTTAAAAGTCATTAGCTGGTATGTAAGGGAAAAATACTTAAAAATAATAATCAATATGGGTACTGGATTGACAAGAAAGTTACCAGATAAATTAAAAAAAACCAAACAGGAATATACACACAAACACTTAAATAAGTGCGTATGTCTATACATGTAAAAAAACCCACACATTACGTGTACATATGTGCATACAAAGGCGTTTTAACATTGACCGTGTCACACAAGTTGAATTTTAGCATGAAATTTTATGCAAGTTCAAACATTTTATTGTGTCACAAAATTATGATGTTGGTTTTTTTTTTTGAAGTAGACATGGTTAGCTTCGGGCAGGTAAAATCCAATCTATCCATTTTAACAGGAAGAATAGCAAAAAACCATGCAAATCAAAAGATACAAGGACATTGCTTGCTACCCATTGTTCCAAGGTGGTTCAATAAACAAACAAGCAGTATCACATACTGCATCCTATAATCCGTAACGCAGAAGGTGGTCAATGTGTGGAAAGATTGTTATTCTAAAAATTGTGGCACGCTTTTTTTTCTTTCATGCCAGGGGCACTATAAGAGGTTCCAACATAAAATTATGTTTAACCCAGATCCAATTTGGAAGCTTCAGTTCTTTTATGCTGCAATGCCCTCACTCACAAATACACCCAAGTTGTATTTCTAAAGGCACTGTTGGACCAGTTATGGCATACAGTGCTGTGTTTCAAACAATCACCTTCGAGAATAAACAGAATACCTGTGTACGTTAAACGCAAAATTCGGCAGGAAATGTGGCACTATTGTAAACAAAAAGACCCATTGCACGTTATTAACACAGGGAACATGGTTATGTATGTAATATGCAACATAAGAAAATGAAGGATTTCAAAAGTAAGGAAAAACAAAGGAGGACATTTCATTTAAAATGCTGAAATTGTTAAGTAACAAGGCACTCACTGGAGCAGGTTTATTATGATGCAAGAATAACTGTACTGTTCTACATTTAAAGGCACCAGTGGGTTGGGCTGGCTGTAAATGCTCTTTATGTTAATGTTCTTGAAAATGCCCACTGCCAGATTACCACATTATGTGGTGCCCCTGTCGGTCAATAATAAAGAATGGTCTACAGCATTACTATGGTAGCAGTCAAAGAAAATCTGCAATAGGAAATTCTCAGTTTGCATGCTGAGGTTAAATCATTGCAGATTAAAATGAATTTTACTGGGAAAAAAATGGTCTGTAACATCATAATCAGTTTCCAAGAGATCTGAAGCGGAATGGCTGATTTGCTTAACATTAGCTAGCCTCTACTTGGCAAGTAAGCAAACACTTTTATAAAGAAGTGTTAGGCACTGTAACCAATTCAGCTTATTGATGAGGTTATAGGACACAGAGTCCCTATTTTTTTAATGCTTTAAAGTTAAACGGGGAGATCTGGCATTTTACCCACTCTGTTCTGCTCAGTCTAATGAGGAAGCATTAGCCTGAACAGCAATGGACTGTGTGATTAGCAGAGTGTCAGCTGATTGCTCCTGATCTGATTAGTATGACTAAGGAAGAGTGTAAACTCTGCCTTAGCCCAGAGGAGGTCAGGCGGTGGGCTGCCAGAGATTCTAAATTCAGTCTTGAACCAATCTAAAATGGTTTAACATTGAATGAAGGGGTGATGCTAGGGGCCACTTTAATGATATGAAATGGTTATAGTGCCTAGAATGTAGCTTTTATGGTCAAATTGTGCTTATTGTATAGACTTTCAATTGGCTCTGGAGCTACAACCTTGAACATTTGGAATAAAAAAAATGTTTTGCCCTGTGTTTGAAATCATTTACTCCATAATTGAGCACTCCTCACTACACATTTGGCATCCTTAGGATTAAATGAATAGTGAATTAAAAAAAAAATGAAAATCCGGATTCAAATGTTAGCAGCCCATATTGGAGAGAATGGTCTTCTTTAAACAATATTTAAAAATGTATTGCTTGCATCTACTTTGCAAGATTTGAATGTATTTAGTATACAATAAATCATTCACCATTTTATCTAACATTCCTATACGGCCAACAACACTTCCTCTGGATCTATTTGTTTGATGCAAGTACAAGTTATGCATGGACTACATTCACACACTGTTTGGCATAATGGTATACCATTAATAAAAACCCAATGATTTGGTATAAGTTCTTATTACAGTGTGGTATATGAATAGCAATATTCCAACTCTCACTCATGAATACCAATAGGGTTAAATAAATCAGCCATACCTACATATGTTACAAAGATTTTCGTTCAATAAAATATATGGAAATTTTAAGTTTTGGCCATCTTTGATTCATTGTGATCCTTTCACTTTTTCTATAATGAAGGATATACAAAAAAGAAAGAAAGTATGTGCAAGCACTCATTTGTTATGTACTTACTTTTGAATCTAATCTTACACATACCTTTGATTCCATGCACTGCGTGTCTTGTCAACATGGAGCATATTAGAGGCGAATTAAAACCCATTCAATCTATGGTCTATGCATTTGGGAGCAATTTTGCTATTACAACATACAAAGACGTTTATTCTGTTCTAGGAACTGCGCCAACATTTTTTTGTGGTGAGAGATTGAGATTCCCTCTTATACATATGGTCTAACAATTCTTATAAAGTGTGCTTATGCAACCCATGAACATACATCTACTCTATACTTCAGCCACTTAAGGTAATATGGTAGTGGACATCCTTTACTGCCATCAGAACTTACGTAAAGCCATCTCCTTGTATGTAATGATTTGTGTAACAGACATTTCTGATGATCAACTATTATCACAGCCAGTATTAGCCGAAAGTTTTTTTTCTTATTATATACCATGATGTCAAAATTCCTAGACTGGTTTATAGAAGAGTACAAATTGTACTATATTATTTGCAAAGTGTCTCAGTTCTGATGCCCTCTGTTATAGATGAATAACAGAAACCCAAATGACAATAAAATTGTAAGAAAGGAGTAAATTGTATTTTTAAAAGTGCAATAAACACACAATCTTTTTTTGTCTATTAGTGTTAAAATATGCCCGAACTCATTTTAAAACCTGTATTAACACAAACTAGATGTTCTCCCACTTAATGGGTCCTATGGATGTGCAACTTATTACGGTCTGCAGGATAAGCAAGCTGTGTCCCTCTGAGCATTAGTTTGATAATTTTACAACTAAAAATGTCACACTGCAACTTGCAACTGTGCACAAAAAAAACCCAACTAATAAAATGTGATGGGCGCGATTATACATACATTGCAATGATAATAAACCCACACTATATTTGCTTAGATGGTCCATTAAAATACTTTGCAAAAAGCAACACAGCTTTGCTGAAGAAACTGAAGCATTGATGTGTTTGTTGGAAGTGGAACCTAAAGAAACCCAGAACTTGAGATCTTTGTCGCTGTCCTTTGTAAAGCTTGTGGCTGTGAAATTTTAAGGGCCAGGATTTACCTGATGCAATTTAATAATTATAATATCTAAATATATTAATTTGTGGGAGGGAGGGGAAGGCATTTGAGGCAATAACAGGATCCTCTGGCACAGCACTAGTTAACCTGACCGTTGCGCTACGACAGGACTTCAAACACATTGCACAGCATTGTATTGCAGAGATCTCCTCCAGGACAACGTGTTGCAAGCAGGAGACCATGTTAGATGTAGCAAAGAGAACATAGAAAAAATGTACAGTCAGTAAACTTCTAGGGTTCAAATGTTTCATGCTACAATTTCATTCCTGGAAGCGTCCGTTTTTTGTGATTTACAGAATGTGAAGACATGCAGTATTACTGCAAGTGCTAGTCAGATAGTGCTGTGTCAGGGTAAAACAGGAAGAAGGATTTATTAAAATTCCTTATTTCGCATACGCATCTCGTGCCGCCGAAGGTGGTTGTACAAGGACTGGACGTAGGTGAAGACACACTTTGAATCCGGCCTCTTTCCCATGATCATCATGTCCTCAACCTCCACCAAGGGAACACAGTCCACCAGCATCCTACCAAGGGACAGGAGAGAGAATACGTTAGGAGGCACAATTTGGTTTTTATTTTTCAATTTGGATAATAAAGCTGGAGGAAAACAAAATGATTCACAAATACATTCACCCTCCCCCCACAAAAACCTCCTTAGGAGACTCCCCCCCCCTCCAAAAAAAAACAAACCTTGATGCTTATAGCATGAAGGGAAACACTTTACAGGAGTAGAATAGACAGTTCCACCATTTAGACACCTAAAATATTAAGCGATTTGTTAACTAGACACATACATACATCTATTTCAGTAACCTCCCAAAATCTAGATTAGGGAGGCATTATGGACACATCAAGGACTTCATATACAAGTACCTGTTTCAGTCCTAGTTATTCTCAGTGAATTTGTCGAGTAAACCAGAAAAGCAGTACTATGAAACACTGCACTAACAGCACTTGGCAAAGCCTATTGCAAGCACACCCCGATATTAAGCTGATCCTTGCCAGGGAGCATAGAGCCACAGTGACTCATAATTTCCATAATTTGGTTTATATATCGCAAGAAAACTTTCCAAACGCTGCACACCATATATGTACATGCCCAGTCCATGAGATTTAACACTCTCCAAGCAGGACAGGCGAAATGATTTTGAAAAAAAAGAACTTGTGGAAGCTGAAACATTTAAGATGTACACCAAATTGAAATTGAAGCAGCAAAAAGAAGTGTATGTGTGTGTGTGTTGTATGCTGTAACTTTGTAACGCTATTCAATAGCAAATAGGTGATATCACCAATTGATTAATTGAGTGAGATTATATATAACAGAGTGATATGAATTGTGTGATTGATAAGATTAGCGAGTACTATTTATGTACGTGAGATAGAAAATCGATCTATATTAATCGATTTTTTGAAGAATATGAAAATTATAATTAAAAACATTTACCCTTATTTATATCTGCTAATACTGGACTTATACTATCTATTTTATTTCTTATGTACCACTATGGGATTGTTGAATTACACTAAATGTGATTGTCTCCTGAACCTGAACTTGTGAAATTCTATAATAATTAAATCACACATATATATTATACAGTATATATACTGTGTATCATGTATACTTCGTATCTAACTGGTCTTGAATAGAACCTTAGCCCCTGAATAGCTTTTTATAAGTGTAAAATATTTATGTAAATACATAATTTTTCCATGACAACCCAAATAATGTTTTTAATTATAATTTTCATATTCTTCAAAAAAAATAAATAAATAAAAAAAAAAATCGATTAATATAGATCGATTTTCTATCTCACGTACATAAATAGTACTCGCTAATCTTATCAATCACACAATTCATATCACTCGGTTATATATAATCTCACTCAATTAATCAATTGGTGATATCACCTATTTGCTATTGAATAGCGTTACAAAGTTACAGCATTTATATATGCTGTCTAAGGGATAAAACACCTTATACATATTATTTATTGTTAGTTGTCACATTCCCTAGTACAGGTCTTTGTAAGCCGATATCTAGTAGTGCCGGCTTTACACTAATTGTTGATACTGGTTTCCTAGTAACCACGCACATACCTACGTCATCACGTGGATCACGTGATGTCCGTTGGACACTTCCGGGTTTCGAACAGGGATAGGCGGGACACAATCACTATTGCTGAGTACAATTTTCACTTACCTTATATAAAGTTTGTTTTTTAATGTATATTTGATCTTGAGGAAGACCCGAACGGGTCGAAACGTCGATCAATATGTTACAATATGTAACGGAATAAATACTTCTGAAATATTTAAAAAGACCGGAGAGTGCACCTTCTTTATTGACATATTATATACCTCAGCGTGGGTTAGCACCAGGGCATAAGATTCTTAATACATCAGTAAGGGTGAGTGCCATTATATCTATAATATCTATAATATATATATATATATATATATATATATATATATATATATATATATATACACACACACATATATAAAAATATATATATATACACATATATAAAAATATATATATATACACATATATACATACACACATACACACACATATATATACACAGTTGCAAGAAAAAGTATGTGAACCCTTTGGAATGATATGGATTTCTGCACAAATTGGTCATAAAATGTGATCTGATCATCATCTAAGTCACAACAATAGACAATCACAGTCTGCTTAAACTAATAACACACAAAGAATGAAATGTTGCCATGTTTTTATTGAACACACCATGTAAACATTCACAGTGCAGGTGGAAAAAGTATGTGAACCCTTGGATTTAATAACTGGTTGAACCTCCTTTGGCAGCAATAACTTCAACCAAACGTTTCCTGTAGTTGCAGATCAGACGTGCACAACGGTCAGGAGTAATTCTTGACCATTCCTCTTTACAGAACTGTTTCAGTTCAGCAATATTCTTGGGATGTCTGGTGTGAATTGCTTTCTTGAGGTCATGCCACAGCATCTCAATCGGGTTGAGGTCAGGACTCTGACTGGGCCACTTCAGAAGCGTATTTTCTTCTGTTTAAGCCATTCTGTTGTTGATTTACTTCTATGCTTTGGGTCATTATCCTGTTGCAACACCCATCTTCTGTTGAGCTTCAGCTGGTAGACAGATGGCCTTAAGTTCTCCTGCAAAATGTCTTGATAAACTTGGGAATTCATTTTTCCTTCGATGATAGCAATCCGTCCAGGCCCTGACGCAGCAAAGCAGCCCCAAACCATGATGCCCCCACCACCATACTTCACAGTTGGGATGAGGTTTTGATGTTGGTGTGCTGTGCCTTTTTTCGCCACACATAGTGTTGTGTATTTCTTCCAAACAACTCAACTTTGGTTTCATCTGTCCACAGAATATTTTGCCAGTACTGTTGTGGAACATCCAGGTGCTCTTGTGCAAACTGTAAACGTGCAGCAATGTTTTGTTTGGACAGCAGTGGCTTCCTCTGTGGTATCCTCCCATGAAATCCATTCTTGTTTAGTGTTTTACGTATTGTAGATTCGCTAACAGGGATGTTAGCATTTGCCAGTGACTTTTGTAAGTCTTAGCTGACACTCTAGAATTCTTCTTCACCTCATTGAGCAGTCTGCGCTGTGCTCTTGCAGTCATCTTTACAGGACGGCCACTCCTAGGGAGAGTAGCAGCAGTGCTGAACTTTCTCCATTTATAGACAATTTGTCTTACCGTGGACTGATGAACAGCAAGGCTTTTTGGAGATACTTTTATAACC